CAGAGTGGCCAGGGAAACCATTATTATTATTATTATTATTATTATTATTATTATTATTATTATATTTCACCGCCTTGATTGCAATGAAACCTAAAGCAGACCCATTGAAATGCAATTCTTAACTTCGTTTCGGGTTTACACCAACCATTCTTCTTTTCGCAGTTGAGACTGACCATTCACTTTCTTCTGATTGGTACCTGATTGATAAACTCACTCTTTAACGTCATCTGAATCTCTGTAACCCGACGTTAAGAAATGGCATGTAAACTAGAAATAACGAGGGGAATCCCATTTCAGACTCCATTGCCATTTTCTTTGAAGATTTATTCAGCAGGGAATCAGGTCAACGGAGAAGAGGAATCAGAGTTCTGTGGCGCAAAACTATGCCCTCGGCTCCCTGGGCTTCTTGGCTGCCACCTGCTTCACGGTGGCTTTCCTAGCCAGGAAGCTGCCCGGCTCCTTCAACGAAGCCAAGCTGATCACCTTCAGCATGCTGGTCTTCTGCAGCGTTTGGGTGTCTTTTGTGCCCACCTACCTGAGCACCAAGGGCAAGTACATGGTGGCCGTGCAGATCTTCTCTATGTTGGCCTCCAGTGCTGGGCTTCTGGGCTGCATCTTCCTTCCCAAGTGCTACATGATTGTGCTGAGGTCTGATCTGAACACAAAGGAGCACCTGACAACCAGAAATTAAGGGAACAGTTGATTCTTAAAATATTCCATGTTCCCGATGCCCAGAAGTGCATAAAGGAAACACACTTGCTCATCCATGTTGCTCATTCTTCATCTGTGAAAGAGATTGTGTTCATTCTTAGCCCAGGTTTTGTGTAGTCCTGTTGACATGAACCGTAAGATGGGAGGAAATGTTTTGCTACCTTGCTTTGCCAAGGACTACAATGAGTCCTGGTCTACTGCCCTTAGTTTGTAAAGTTTTATCATTTAATCATTTTTTGCTTTGAGAAGTTATATTTATCTCACAACAAGATAGGCTGGAGGGAGAGAGGAGTTAGGTCTTTGAGTGTGATTCCTTTGTCCTAACTACCTATTAACCATATCAATTCTGATATTCAACAATAGTTTCTAGTTATGTCATTTCTATTTATTGAATTTTCTCCATTTTCTACATGTATGCTGTATCATTCATAAGTACACTTCACGTCATTTTGTTCTCCTAGCTTTGTATATCAATAAACTGAGAAATTCATTTAAGACATCTTCCGTAGTCTGTTGGTTTAATTTCTGTATTGTGTAAGCTCTGCTCTCTGTTCCAAAAAGTAGCAACTGACCTTAGCCAAGCCTTGACTGGAGTCCAATGGGTTTTATTACACTGGCCTGGATGTGACATGTTGTGCACTGATGTTGAGTGGATCACCAGATTACGAGTGAGCAAGCAACAAGTTTAGCATTGGAGGAAAGCAATGAGACGATGCCAGATAAGTTGTATTCCCTGCCTGCCAAACCTTTTCAGAGGAGGCATCTTATGCTCAGTCAGGAAGGAAAAGCAAGAGGCCTCCTCCTCCAACTCAGGTTCCTCCCATTCACGTCCCCATTATAGAGCAAAGCCAAGATCAAAAGGGCAAGTAAAAATAATTTACAGATCAGCCACTGACAAAGCATTTATATTAATTAGTCAAGATTGCATCCTACTTAAACTTTCATCACTTCAAATTGGTGGAAACTCTCATTCTTATTACGATTCAACTTGTAGCATTCCAATGAAGGGTGCTATATAAATTTAAGCTGGGAGCAGCCTCTGGCTTGACTTATTTCATTATTCTTACTAATATTAATAAGTAATAAAGTATGAATTTGGGGGAGGGGAATACATTACATTAGTGTCCAGTCATTGCATTTCTATAGGATACTTCATTTCAATCAATCAATCAATCAAATCTTTATTACAGTAGTAGACCAGCATCAGTAGAGTGGGGTACAATCATTTCAGTCTGTAAAACGTTTCGGAAAGCGAAAAAGTATTTAACACAAAGTATATATAAAAGTCTAAAAGACGCTAAAAGAAGGGTTTGGGAGCATTAAACAGATGTGGAAGAGCATAAAAGGTTAGTATATAAAGACTATGGCCACCAATTTACAGAGCACTCTGATATGAGTGTTCATTAAATCTAGCACAGGGGTCTGCAACCTTTAAGACAAAAAGAGCCACTTGGACCTGTTTCCGAAGAAAAAACAACAACTGGGAGCCGCAAAACCATTGCGACATTTAAAACAAATATAACACTGTGAACGGCTTACCGTGCTTGACTATTTCCTGAGCGGCTACAAAACTAGCATATGTTGTGGAATTTGCAGACTTCACCCAATTCTTGAAATTATTTTTGCTCCTATCAACCTTCCTCATAAGTTCTGCAATGGCTTTTCGTCTCTCATCTCCATCTGGATATTTTTCAGCAAAGGCTGTGTGTTTATTCTGGAAATGTCTTGCAATATTGACTTTGTTGTTTGCAAATTTCTCACCACATATTAAGCATACTGGTAAACCATCTTGTCAGTAGAAAGGGAAATGATTCTGTCCATGTATCATTAGACATTCTGTTTTTCTTCAGAAAATTTTTCTTTTCTTGCCTTTATCCATGGCTGGCCTACCGGGGGTCCAAAAGAGGGACGCAACTAGAAATCAGAGGGCCCCATAGCAAAATTTGCTATGCCCAATAATCAATGCCCCAAAATGCCATAGAAATTAATCAGGGCCCCAGTGTACCATAAATCCTAATCAGTGGCCTGATGTAAATAATAATTAATAATGAGGGCCCAATGTCATCCTCGTCATTTTAAAATAACTTTTTTGACACTTTTTTATTATTTTTTTGTTTGACCCCTCAGAATTACTCCTCCTCATAGAAATAAAGGTTAAATTAACAAGTTACCTTTTTTTGAGGGTGTGTTCTTCACTCCCCTTCAAAACAGTGACCAGCTTACATGCCCCCTTTCAATGCAGCCTGCTTACAGCCCTCAACCAAAATGGCCGCTCCCGCGACTCCCACGTGCGCCCACAAAGATGGCGCCGACGATTTCCCCTTATCGCTGCCCTTTAAAGAAATGGCCGCCGCAGCTTCAACCCACGCCTAGAGGAGGCTAGAGAGGGAGGAAAGCGGGGGGCGGGGGGAGGAAAGCAGCGAGGACGGCGGAGAAGGACTGCCGGGAGTGGAAGGGAGAGGGTGCGAGCTGGAACGGGGCAAAGAGGGCGGTCCGATTGGCGGGCAGGGTTGCAGGCACGCCCGGGGATTCCCCTGTTCTCGCGGGGGCAAAAGGCCAGCCCCCGCGAATGGAGTGTGGGAGGGGTTAGCTCGCAACCCCCTCTCCTCTCTAGCTCGGAAATGGCTTTGCGGAACATGCGCCTCCTCCCCTCGCCTCCGCCCCGGAGCCGCGGCAAAGGCGTTAAAGAGCCGCATGCGGCTCCGGAGCCGCGGGTTGCCGACCCCTGATCTAGCATAATAATAGTAATGAAAAGGTGTGGCAATGGAGGAGTGCAGGGAGAAGAAAACTCCTGGCACTCATTCTTTCTTGCTACAGAATTAAAAGATTTCTCTCTCCTTCTTTTCCCCTTGGGTGGTGTGTTCAGCGGTCACCCTCAGGGGAAACAGGTGTCCCCCCCCCCTTGGAGGAAATGGACTGATCGGAACCTGGCTGTGACATCGGCTCAGAATCCCAGCCTCACTTTGCAGTTGAGGCCAACAGCCTTTTGGTGGTTTCTCTGCAAGTGAATCAGGAAAAACTAGACGCCGAGAAAGCAAAGCCTGAAGACTGATGTCTGGGAAATGGTGAGGGGACCAGCAGGAAACTGCTAAGGGAGTTTGAGTCCTTTTATTCTGTTGCAGTTGCAGAGAAAGGAGGGTGGGGGGTGGGGGGTGGGGTCCGCCCCAGGTGTCATCACTGAGGGGGGTGGCAAAAGGACAGAGGCCGTGTTTAAAATAAAATTGGGCTCACCAAACCTTTAGTTGAGTCAAAAAACGCGCTGGCACTGGGCGCCGCACCGCGGGGCTGGCACTTACCGGTGTGTGTGGTGTGTGTGTGTGCAAGAGTGCCTGATCCACGCATCTCTCCTGGGGTGACTGGTGGCTTGGGCCCCTGCAGGCTGGGCGCTGCCTGAAACAGAGCGTGGGGCTTGCGTCTGCCCCTGCCTCTCCCTCAACCACCCTACAGCTGGGGGGGGAGGCAGAGGATAGGCTCCAGAAAGCCCACAGGACCCCCGCGTTGAACCGGGCACCCAAGCAGCTGGCTATACCGCTGTTCTGTTGTTTGAATTATGGTGCCTTGAGAGTGAATGTGCTGTGCTTGCGCCCCACTTGTCCTGATGGACCAGCCCCCCATGGCGCCAGGGCTGTAGGGCTCCCTGGCTAGCGACTCAATGGGGCAGGAGAGTTTCCCTTCTGGGTTCCTCTCTCATTTTGGGATGCTCTCTTTTCTCCTCTCTCCCCACCGTCAACTCTGGGGTCCTGTCTCTGCTAGCAGTCAGCCACCGAGGAGGACATTCCCAATGTCAAGGAGGACGAAGGAAAGGCGAGGAGGAGACGACCGCAAGACGGCTGGATCTCCTCAGCCCTGACTGGGTTAGGTGGGCCGTGGCCTAAGTGGTGATTGGCAGAAGGGGAGGGGGGCATATCAACCGCAGAATGGAACTGTTGTTTCAGTTATGGGTGCCTTGAGTTTTAAACGTTTGGTTGCGTTTTTTAATTGCTCGTTTTTGCATCTTTTCCTTGCAGGTTCCAAGTATGTCACCATTTTCCAGTGTTTCCTCCCTGTCCTCCCTGGATTCCCTTTGGGACTCCCTCAATGAGGTACGTAGCAGACAGAGCAGGAGGGAAGCCCTGCTGAGCTGCACATGGGCAACCCTGAGGCTGGGGAGGAGGAGGAAGAGGAGGATGCTGGCTGGCTGACCGGCCAGGCCACCTTCTGGACGGTTGAGAGCAAGGGGGCAAACAGGCAGGGGGCTGCTAAGGGCAGACCATGCTTGCTGCCCCACTCCTCCTGATGGACCAGCCCCCCATGGCGCCAGGGCTGTAGGGCTTCCCTGGCTAGCGACTCAATGTAGGCAGGAGAGTTTCCCTTCTGGGTTCCTCTCTCATTTTGGGATGCTCTCTTTCTCCTCTCTCCCCACCGTCAAACTCTGGGGTCCTGTCTCTGCTAGCAGTCAGCCACCGAGGAGGACATTCCCAATGTTCAATGAGGACGAAGGAAAAGGCGAGGAGGAGACGACCGCAAGACGGCTGGATCTCCTCAGCCCTGACTGGGTAGGTGGCCGTGGCCTAAGTGGTGATGGCAGAAGGGGAGGGGGCATATCAACCGCAGAATGGAACTGTTGTTTCAGTTATGGGTGCCTTGAGTTTTAACGTTTGGTTGCGTTTTTTAATTGCTCGTTTTTTGCATCTTTTCCTTGCAGGTTCCAAGTATGTCACCATTTTCGAGTGTTTCCTCCCTGTCCTCCCTGGATCCCTTGGGACTCCCTCAATGAGGTACGTAGCAGACAGAGCAGGAGGGAAGCCCTGCTGAGCTGGAGAACCCTGAGGCTGGGGGGAGGAGGAGGGAGGAGGAGGAGGAAGCCGGCTGGCCGGTCAGGCCACCTTCTGGACTGGTCGCGAGCAAGGGGGCAGGCAGGCAGGCAGGCAGGCAGGCAGGGGGCTGCTAAGCGTATGCTTGCTGCCCTACTTGTCCTGATGGACCAGCCCCCCATGGCGCCAGGGCTGTAGGGCTTCCTCTGGCTAGCGACTCAATGTGGGTTCCTGTCTCATTCTGGGCTGCTCTCTTTCTCCCCTCTCCCCACCCCAATGCCACCACCTCTGGGGTCCTGTCTCTGCTGGCAGGCAGCCTCTGAAGTGGCTATCGAGGAGGAAGAGCCACAGGCAAGTACCAGAGAGCCCCCAGAGGAGGACGGGGAAGGGACAAGGAGGCCCTTTATTTCGCCGTGCCCCCCACCTGGAGAACACCTGGAGGCAAGCATAATCGAGGTCAGACGAAACACACATTCATTCATGACATTTGAAAAGCTTCCTGAACAGGGCTGTCTTCACATGTCTTCTAAAAGTCAAATAGTTGTTTATTTCTTTGACATCTGGCGGGAGGGCGTCCACTGGGCGGGTGCCACCACCGAGAAGGCCCTCTGCCTGGTTCCCTGTAACTTCACTTATCGCAGTGGGGAACCGCCAGAAGGCCCTCAGCACTGGATCTCAGAACGATGGGGGTGGAGATAATTCTCCTGGGTTGCTTTTGGTTGTGTTTGTTTGTAAGATATCTCTTTTGAATGCGTTTCCAGGTGCCTCCTGCCAAATGAAGTTATTAATTGCAAAGTGGGTTTGGCGATAATAAAACCATGTTGGCACTTTGCAAAGCCGGTTCTCTCTGGGGTTTTCCTGCCTCCGATACCTTCCCCCCACCCTCTTGTTCTGGTTTTGTGTCTCGTTCAGATCTCTCCAAGGCTGACCACATGAGAACTTGGGAGAGGAGTGTTCCCTCCTGACTACAACCCTTTCATATAACGCCTTGCCCCCAAAAAGAAAAGGAGGGATTATGACAGCCCTGCCACCACACAGGCCCTTCTCCTTCACAAAACGGTCTGGAGGGCAGCAACACAAGAAGGGGCCTTTCTGTGGTGGCTCCCCACTTGCGGAATGCTCTTCCCAGGGAGGCTCATCTGGCATCTTCATTATTATCTTTAGGTGCCAAGCAAAGACGTTTCTCTAGAACAGAGCTTTCCAAACTGTGGTGCTCCTCCCAGGGCTGGAAAAGGGCTTAGTTGAACTGAATCCCTGTGTTGCGAAATGAGGCATGGTCTCCAAAAGTGTGTCACCACATGGGAAAGTTCTGCTCTAGAACCAGCCTTGGGCTAATTGGACAACGCATGGCCTTTTCAACATGTTGTGGATGGGAGGTTGGCTTATGAGTTCGTTTTTGTTTTATACATATGTTGTGTTTTTATTTTGTATTTTTATGCTGTAAGCCGCCCTGACAGCTTCAGATGAAGGACGGCATACGGATTTAATCAATCAATTGTTTGATTGATTGATTAATGATTGCGGCATTTCCCAGAATCTGGAGGTGAATTTTTATTTTCTCACAGGACTGCGAGGAAGAGAGGCCCCGAAGACCCCCACTTGCCTGGGCTCCATCATCTCCCGGATTCGCAAGATCTTCAGAAGAGCGCTGCCGCCAGCACCACCAGTGCCACCAGAGCAACCCAGCACAGAGGCAGCAGTGGGGCGCAGGGGGAAAGGAGGCCACTCTGCACGTGGCTCAGGCGCTGGATGCGGCAGCATCGCAGCTGTGTCCACCCTGAACCAAGATGAGGAGGAGTTGGGAGGCTTGCACCGATCCGCCCAGGGGGATTTTGCCACCCCCCTGGGGATGGCACTCGGGGCGATACCCCCCCCCCACCACCCCACCTTCCTCCGCCAGTGGTGGCAGGGGAAGTAGCACCTGGAGGCGCCGAGTCCCTAAGGGACATTTCCTTTTGTTGTCCTTGCACAGGTCTTAATCCTGTGGTCCAAACTGGAGAGGAGGAATAAAAGATCTGAGCGCGGAGGCAAGCGGGGCGAGAAACCCAACCCCATTGTGGCCCTACGCTGGCGTCCCACGGCCAGCCCCAGTCCTAAAGCCCGACACCATCTGATATTGCGGAGCAGAACGGAGAAGAACAGCGGCAAAGGGTGACGGCGAAGGAGAAGTGCGAGAGAACGACAGCGTCTACGGTGGCGGAGGAGAAGGAGAAGACAGGACTGAGAGGGGAACGATCCTGGAAGGTGGCTTGAAAAGAAGGGCAAAGACTCTCCTCCTGAAAGATAGGGGAGTGGTTGTGGCGGGAAACCCGAGCACCGCCCAGCAGGGGGCGTTGCCCCCTGCCTCCCGTCACCTGGCTGGCACTCACGCCCCCCCGGTGGCCACCCAACCAGGTGCCGTGGTGGGGGCGTGTTTCAGCAGCCTTTTGCTGCAGTGCCAGCCTTTCCCTGGCCCATTCCCATCGTCGGGTCCCGGTCACGAGTCACCCACCCTCCACTCCCTTTAGTTAGGGCTTAGGTCATGGCCTTGCTATGGACCTTAGGTTGGTCGCCCTGGTTGCCTGGGGCCTGGTAGGAGTTTTTCCATTTGGCAATAGGCTTTTTGGTTTTTTCGCCTACCTCGTAGCAATGGTCACAACTTTTGTGGTATTGGTGGGTGTTAGGCATTGGATATGTGTTGTGGTGTGTCGAAGTGCTAGGTGTGGCCATCGCCTATGCCTTCAATT